ATTTACTGCGTTTGTTGTTTGTTGTCATTTCAGGAATAGAGGCTCGCGGGTTCCTATTTGGTCCACCAATCGCGTTAGCCATTGGAGCGAAGTTCGTTCCTCTTCGGAAACCCAAGAAACTGCCTGGTTCTTAATCTTTTATACTTTTTTCATATAACTTTTTATATAAATGGTAACAATGTTAAATGTCTAACAAATAGTTTATGGTACATGGTGTAAAATGTAACTAGGCGAAACAATATTTGAGGAATACGAGTTGGAGTACGGAAGTGACCGGCTAGAGATGCACGTAGGAGCTGTCGAGACCGGAGACCGAGCTTTGGTCGTCGATGATCTCATTGCAACCGGTGGTACTCTCTGCGCCGCCATTAACTTGCTCGGTAAATTCCCCAAGCCATATGAAATATCATATCCAATTGAATTATTTAATATCAAACCTAACCGTTTCGAGAAATTCATTAGTCTTTTGGTATTTTTGGGACCGTGTCAGAGAGGGTTGGAGCAGAAGTTGTGGAATGTGCATGTGTGATCGAGTTACCCGAATTGAAGGTTTGCTGTCGTGAAATTTAATACACTATATTCGAAAATGTAATAAATTGAGATCTTTTATGTTGGTGTGACATTTAATATTTTTGAGGTGGGAAATTAATTTTTTGCAGGGAAGGCAGAAACTCAAGGGAAAGCCATTATGCATGCTTGTGGAGTACCGATAATGATTTTAGCTGAGATATTTGGGTTAATGTTTCGGTTAATTGATTTTTGGTTGTGCACCGAAAATTCGGATTATGCAGACTTATTATTGGATTTCACAACATATGAATTTAAAATCTGGCGGATTAGCTGGAACAAATAATCCAAAGCTCTTTGTTGTTAAGAAAGTATTTATAGTACTAGTTAATTATAAAATGAGATAGATCAGTCAAAATAATTCTCGTTTTTGGAAGTAACTTTAAACATAGATAGCAGTAAGATCAATGTGATTGTGTGGATAGTCAGATAGATATATATATATACACATCAGCTTATAGCTACGAAAAAGGGTTGTTCCTTTTAGTTATCAAGATAGTATTCGAACTAGCAAACAGCCAAACATCAACACAAATTTTTGACAAGACTTTTAGTTTTATCATCAACTATAAACAACGAAAAGAAAAAAAGTATATAGCCGATAATATATGAAGTAAACCATTGAACTTTGTTATTACGATAGTACTCTCTTCTCTTATATACACCTAAGTTTCTCTGAACATAAACATTCCAATCAAACCCATTTGCATTAAAAAAACTAGACATTCCTATTTATTGTATATGATATATATGCAGTACATTGTTCAGAAACGTAATTAAAATTATATAAGAGACAAACAAAATATTTTGTTAGGTCAACTATGATTAGGATCTCCATTTGATATCGTAATTATAGATCATCATATATAGTCTTCCACCAAATTGTGTTTGCCATGATTATGTTTCTCCAATCACATTTTCTGAAGTCAAACTAAAACACATACAGTATATGATATATCCATCCCCCACAAAAACAAAAAGAGTTGAAAAAATGGCCCGACGCATATGTTAAGACCTAAAATACATTGCACTATATTAAGAAAATAGAAACTTAAGCCATGAGTGCTTTTTGTTTTCTTTGCTTCAGAAAAATCTAATCATACATATTTGGCTACAAATACATATGTAATTCATGTAAAAATAGCTTATTTAAGATTTATTGTAAAATCATGATTTTGGTGATTTTGGCTACACAGCATAATGCATAATAACTCAACAAACTACTTAAGTACATCTAACTTCGAAATACTTAGACCGATCAATCCAAGACATGATCGACCTTCGATCTGTAAACTGTAGTAATATATAACTCGACAAACTACTTGAGTACATTTAGAAAACAAGAAACAACTTATAGCCGATAGCAACACAATACATCATCGATCTATTATACTCTGATTATATAAAGTCCATTAAAACTATACTTCGAATCAGACAATGATAAAAAAAAAAATGTATATTTGTTCTTTACAATACAAAAATGATTAGGAAGCAGGGCAACACCGCTCGTGTATCAAAGACATACAACTCGCCGTCACGACCCGCTACTGAGTCCGACCCAAACCCAATTCTATTAGCGATCCGACCCGCTATCACCCGACAAATCAGCATTGCCCTCCTCCCACCGCCATTTCCTCCGCTCGCGTGCGCTTCACCGCTACCCGAAAACGTACACACAGCCTGACCTTTCCCTCCGGAGAAAGCCCATGCGCCGCCGTCGATCCCGTCCGGGAGTGGATAAAACCTCATCATCTCGTTACCGTCGGCCAAACACCGTGCGTCTTCTTCGCACGTGCCGACTCTGTCTCCGTTTACACCCGCACGTGACTTCACTATTTCTCTGTACTCCTCGAACCGGGTCACAGTCCTCGACTCGTTTTCCACTTTAAAAATCATCTCAATCCGACCCGGAAATTCATCGGAGCTCCAGCTAGATTGGAATATAATCTCCACTACGTTCCTCGACGGATGACCATCGGGAAGCTCGGTCAGCGCGTCTGATGTTCGGGCAGATTTGCTCCGTCGGGTCCGGGTAGGCGGGCTAAGCTCCGATTCGGTTCGACAAGACTTCAAACGCCTTAAATTCGGGTCGGGTTTCGGGTTTTTCTTACCTATTCGGGCATCGATCACGTCTTTAACGTAATGTGAGCTCTTTCTACAACTGTAGCTCGACACTAGTAGAGGTTTGCTGACATCCTCGTAAGCCTTTGATTTGCATTGTAATAACTTGATCCACCCGTTTGGCATGTTCGGGTATCGGATCCGGATTTTTTTTCTCGCTCCACGCAGCCTCGTCCCTCTATCTCTTCAGGAGTATTTATGAAGTATATGATGATGTATGGACAATAATCGCGGGCATTTTATTCTGATCGGTGCAATGACGATTTTACCCCTTTCTCTTGGGCCTGGCGGCCCTGGCCCATGTGAACGTGGGTTGATTTTCGTTTTTCTTTTATTGGTTCGATTTGGTGGACTTAGATTGCGAAATTCGTATTATTTAATTTGTGTGTGTTTGTGTGTTTCTATACATGCGACTGATTTGATGATGGATTGATAGGGAGTTTGTTTTTTTAGAAGTGTTATTGAAGAAGAATTTATGAATAAACGAGGCAGAGTAATAAAAATTAGAAATTAGGTGAAGTACCAAAGTTTTCTTTACATTTAATGAAGAAAGCAAATTGACGATGTGTTTCCTTTTAACATGTCAAGAACTTAATGATTTAAGTTTCTTGTCGGGTGTTACTTATTGAGGTATGACAACAATAATAAATAGGAAGTCAAGTGAATTTACTGTAGTGAAACAATAAGAGAAAGGGAATAAGTAGGACAAATTCTAGGTTTGTTGTATATTTACGAAATACTGTAAAAAGGGAGGGAGAGAAAAAGCAAGAAAACAAAATTTATCTTCAGAACTTTTTTGTGAACATTGATACTATTGGTTGAAGGTCACTTTGCGCCTATATTTGGCAGCATATCAAAGTCGAACCAGTTTACTCCACTAGATCCAGACCCACTCTCAAATTGCTTCAACTTATCTTATTCTTCATATATATATATATTAAAAAACATTGTTTTGTCTTTGCATAAAAATGAATTTGCATAAGAAATTAATGAGGTTAGACACTTAGGAGTACTGAGAGAATTCTATAGAATACAAAACATTATTGAGAGGAACATTGATAAGTGGTTGATTTTTGTATGTGATATATTTTCTCCAACTCTTATTTTCAATTTTTCGTCCGATCAGCCTAAATCATCAGTAAAATAGTTGTCAAAATAAACAATCATCAGTAAAATAACAGTACAAAACTATATATGTGTTCTGCGTTAACATTTCTGCACTATATGGTATCCCAAAAGAGTAGGATAGTACCCTTTTTATAAGTATGGAACAAAACTTGAAATGAAACATTCGACAGAAAGAATCGTCAACAGACATAAATCACCAACTGATTAACAAGTAGAACACAAGAAATGAAGAAAGCATTGATGAAACCCATGCATGCTAGAAATCCATACACAAAAAGGCCCAAGTATATGGGCTAAATATTTTGCCTAGTAGAGATATACATAAAAATTATTCAAAAGTTAGGAAAAAAACAGCAGAAGTCCACGAAGGACTTCAGAGCAGAAACACAGAAGAAACATAACACACAACATAAGTTGAGTATTAGAAAAAAATAGCTTCAGCTATAGACTTTAGACAACCTACCACATGGGTTTGGACGGATTTGCAGAAGTCACTGAACCGATATTTGTTCTTTAATGGTAGAGATCTAAAACCTTAACTAAATAAATAAATTATGGAATATGTCCATGTGAGCATTAGAATAATGCCACGAGAGAGAGATAAAGAGAGTATTTTAATGGCTGACACTAAGATAAACAAATCAAATAAATTAGAAGACAGCAGCTGTTTTTGTACATGAATAATGAATATTGAAAGTTGATACCACGTGATACTTTGGCTAATTGGTTCGTCTTAGTCACAATGACTGCAAATATGCTCTCAGCTTGGAGCAGTGGAGGAACATTTACTCAATACGCTTTGGTTTGTGGATTCACTGTGGGCTTTGTGAGTCTTTGGGTTCCTGAGACTAAAGGCAAAACTCTTGAAGAGATTCAAGCTTTGTTTAAATAGTAATTATTGGCATGTTCTACGTTCCTGTTTGACAACTAATGAAAAAAATTTACAATGAAGTAAACGTTGTTGTTAATATATTGGAAATCCACTAAGTAACGGAACCACATATGCACACAATTCAACACGCTTTTCACAAATTATTTTGCAAATTCAGAACTAAAAATAAAAGAAATTATTCTTTTTAAACCAAATACTGGAACTTTATTAATATCTATCATTTCATTATCTTTTCTCTTCATTACACAAGTAAGATCTGAATACATGCATGAGCTCAAAAAATGTAACTCAAATCTCTCAAACATAATTAAGATAACAAGTACATCTCTCAAACATAATTAAAATAACAAGTACATCTCTCAAACATAATTAAAATAACAAGTACATTGACCAAATCTAACGTTCTTTTTCTTAACAGAAACAAGCATGGATGATCTCTTACAACAACAACAAAAAAACAACACGCATGGATGATATTCTTACAACAACAAAAAAATAAACAACAAGCATGGATGATCTCTTACAACAAAAAAAACAACAAGAATGGATAACAAAAAAAAAACAACAAGCATGGACGATCTCTTACAACAACAAAAAAAAAAAACAACAAGCATGGATGATCTCGTACAACAAAAGAAAACAACAAGCATGGATGATGAGTCTCTAATAACGTACGTAACCGGATACTTGTCAACACAAGCTTCCCAAGGATTGTTCTTGGAAGGCTTCACATTCCTCAACGCTTCCCAAACGGCGCTGTTGCATTTAAATCCACTCCCAAACGCAATTTGCCAAACGCGATCGCCTCTTCGCATCCTTCCTTTGGCCTCAATGTAAGCTAACTCATACCAAGTCGAGCTCGAAGACGTGTTCCCAAACCTATGAAGAGTCATCCTCGCAGGCTCCGCATGAACCGGAGAAAGCTCAAAACCCTTCTCTATCTCATCGATTACAGCTCTTCCACCAGCATGGATACAGAAATGCTCGAAAGCAAGTTTGGAATCCGGAATATACGGTTTAACCTTACCGTTGAATAGCTTATTCACAAGCAGAGTCGTAAAGTAGAGAATCTGTTCACTTACCGGAAGAACAAGAGGACCCAACGTAGTGAAATTGGCTTTGAGAGTTTCCCCAGCAATCGGCATTAGATCTTTCGACAAGAAAACCCCCTTTTTTCCATTATCATCCTCTTTCTGATAAGCGCAACGGAAAGCTTTGTCGTCTGCTCCACGGTGAGTCCTAACGACATGCACGAGCCTGTACTTGGCCCGTCTCTTGTCCCTAGACTTGTTCGACAGCATAACCGCAGCGCCACCGACTCGAAACAAGCAGTTCGGCACCAACATGGACTTGTTGTTACCGAAATACCCGTTGAGAGTAGTGTTCTCTGCCGAGACAACAACTGCGTACGTGTTCCTATGTAGCAACAGCATGTCTTTAGCAAGATCCACCCCGATAACTGACGCGCTGCAACCCATTCCACCGAGGCTGAATGTCCTGACGTTACTTCTGAGCTTATACTTGTTCACAATCATCGCTGATAACGAAGGCGTCGGGCAAAAGATACTACAGTTCACAACGAGGATCCCAACATCCTTGGGATCCACGTTAGTGTTTGCGAAAAGGTTGTCTAAAGCACCGAACATGACTTGTTCAGCTTCTTCTCTCGCAGCAGCCATGGAGATTCTCAGTGGGACATGGATCATAGCTTCACAGACATACGTCTCTTCTCCTAAACCAGAGCGTTCGAGGATCATGCGTTGAAACTCGAGAGCAGCGTCGTCGAAATATCCGATTTGTCTAGCGTGATCGATGAACATAGTGGACGGAGCTTTGAGGTGATCAGGTGGGAGGTAGCAGGAGGAATCCACCATGTAAACCGGTCTGGGTCGGGTCATGACATAGACGGTTAAACCGGAGACTAGAACCGCCGAACAGATGGTTATAGTAACCACATTGGACTGGACATGGGTCCAGAGCTGGAGGAGATCGTTTTGGTTCATCTGAGACGCTTCCACGGAGATAACGACGGCGAGAGCGAGTAAACACAAAATCAAGAAATTCGAGACTAGGTAATGGTAACCTAACTTGAGATTCACGCTTAGGGTTTGTCGGTTCTGTACTTGAACAGAACCATCACCACCACCACCACCACCGCCGATTCGTAGTTCTCTGGCACCGTCCATGTTGGCCAAGGACAGAGATTTAACTTATAGAATAAGGTATAGAGATCGAATGCTGTGATTATCCAATCCAGGCGTCCTTTTTTTATTCTTGAGCTGCTGAAAGGGACCGTGAAGGACACGACTTTGACGATGACCCACCAACCATCCCGGGATCTGAAATACATTTATTTGAGGGCTGCCCACTTTCAGCGCCACTCACCACACCACACCACAGACAGTGGCTGTGGCTGTGGCTTTGCCAGAAGTAAGTTAATTATATTGATGCATTTATTTGACGGCTCCCGCCCACTCAGCCCCACAGGCGGAGCCATAGTAATAAATTTTCTTGGGTCAATTTTTTATATTAAATTTAAAACTATTATGTGATCGATATATACTACCCGAAAAAAAAACGTGTTTACCCCTAAATTAATCTTTTTCAAAACTCGAAACAACCGACAGAAGGTACATAGAGAGAAGAAGAATGTAAAATCTGTACAAACTAAAGCAAGGAGACAATGTAGATATATCTCGAAAGATGATCTCAGATCCTTGGTAAAAAGTCATATTCAGGTAACAGACCAGTAGCATCGATGTGAAAGGTTTAGCCTTTCGTGTTAGCGTTTTTTTCTGATCAAGAGCATTTTCATGGAGTAGCAAGATCTCTCATTATTCACATTAAGAATTCATACAAGAGCCTCTAGCGAAACAAAAGGGACAGGCTCTGATCCATGAACATAGAATTCTTGTTCTCCACGTAATCGAAACAACTTAAACTTTTTAATTTAAACTTTAATATTTTTTTTATTTAATTTAAAACTATAATCCATCTATGCTACAAAAAAAAAAAACTAGTTTACATCAGATAATTTGTATATTTGTATTAATTATAACTGATGCAAATTAATTTTACATCACTTGAATGACCAAAAGTGATGGTGCAAATAATCAACATCGGTTTACAGAATAAATGATGTTAATGTATGTATATATCACTTGTAAAAATGATGTTAATATGTAAATCAACTAATTTAGTATTGGGTTTCGGTTTATTTTAAATGATATCAAATATCTTCATCACTTGTAACAATAAAAGTGACAGTTAATTGGTTTTCTATATAGGAAGAAAATAGTGGATACATTCATCCCAAATTTCAGTCACAACTAATTACAACAATAAAAAATCTTGACAAGTTTTAATTAATATACATTATCAGATATAAGAAGTCTTCGTTTGCAAAAAGAATCATGGATCAACAACGTAACACTTGATAACCAAAAGAAAAGTATACTTGTATGCACTAAAAATATATTGAGAGAAGTAATTGGCCTCTTGTTGAACTCCTTCATCGTGAGAATTTTCTCTTTTTTTCTTTCTTGGCTTGTCCCTTCCATTTGCAGAAGAAAGGTTGTAAGTTGGTGCGTGATAAGAGAACCCATGAATCTTTGAAACATTAGAAAATTATTAGTGTTGAGGTACCTTTACTATCCCAATATGTTTAGGCATGGCTCTTAATTCCCAATATCATTATCTCTAAACCGAATTTCTTAGCCACCATTCATGGCAGCTTTTGGAAGATTTGAAGAATATTGAAATCAAAATAACAAAGTAGAAAATTAAGATACCCTTCAGAAACAGAGAAAAAAAAAGGACTAAGAAAAATATTTGAAGGTTTTGAATGTTTTCATAGGAGATGTCTGCTTCCTATTACTCCCTCTGTTTAAAGTTATTACTCTCCGTTTCATCTTAGTTGTCGTTTTGAAAAAATGTATCTACAATGGAGTATAACATTAAAATCTTATTTGTTAGTTTTAAAGAAATATGGGGATCTGAATATAAAATATTTATCTAACTATCATTTTTAAATTAATTATGATTTGATAGCAATATTTTTAATTGAATTTGATAGAATAGACATAGAAAACATAGATTGAGGTTTTAGAAATACCTTAAATAATTTAATGGATGTCAGCAGCCCTTTCTTATTCTGTTATTAGGAATAGCTCAAATAATTTATTTCAAAATCTAGATTTAAAAATGTGGCCAATGATTTGCTGCAAATTCAGTGGAAGTGATGATTTGCATTATTGCCTATCCATATTCCGTTAGAAGTTGAGATTCTCCATCACAATTTAATCACTTCCTTTTTTTTCCTGTGGTCAAACTATACAGTAAATTCACATTCACATTCACATTTACTAAATTACATGATGAGTGCATTGAGCTAATTTAGTTAACACTACAAAAAACAAGGGATTTAACGTTACTTTAAAACATGGTTCACATCATTTTAAAAATGATTCTAACAATTTAAAGTCACTCGCAAAAGTAACACAACACTCAATGATGCTAAGTTTGTTAACATCACTTAAATAAAACACACTGGTAAGAAGTCATATTCAGGTAACAGTAGCATCAATGTTAAAGGTTTAGCCTTTCGTGTAACGTCTCGTTTTCTCTGATCACGCATTTTCATGGAGTAGCAAGATCTCTCATTATTAACATTGAGAATTCACACAAGAGCCTCTACTGAAACAAAAGGGACAAACTTTGAATCCATGAATATAGAATTCTTGTTCTCGACGTAATCGAAACAACTTAAACTTTTGAATTTAAACAATTTAAACTTTGATAAATTTCTTTATTAAATTTAAAACTATTATATGATCCATCTATACTACAAAAAACGTGGTTTACATCAGTTAATTTGTATTTTTGTATTAGTTACATCGAAAAGTGATGATGCAAATAATTAACATCGGTTTAAATAAATCTTTATATTATTAATTGAGAAGTACATTCTAATGTTTGGATACAAGAATTAGAGAAACATCTATTTGGATAGAAGAATAAATGGAAACAAAAGTTGTTTGGATATAAGAATAAGAGAAAAATCTATTTGGATAGAAGAATAAATGGAAAAAATTGTTTGGATACAAGAATAATAACTTAAAATAAACCGATGGTTTAGAAAACTTCCGTTTTCCATCTCTTAAAAATCTGCAAAAAAAAAACTTAACATAATCTAACGATAATTCCAAATCAATAGAATATGCTTTTTGGATTTTCGGGTTTTTATAGACAAGTTCGGGTTTGGGTGAAAATCTGAGACATAATTTTATAGAGATATAGAAATTGTTCGGGTTTCTTTGAAAATTTCTGTTCGGGTTAGGTTCAATTTTTTTTTTCAGTTTAGGGTTTTCCGGATTTTTTAGATTTCTGGTTTTCGGGTTTAGATATATTAAAAAAATTGAGTATTTTAAAATTTTGATTAGGTATTGGGGTCGGGTTCCGGGTGAAAAAGTTTCCAGATTTTTTTTGTTCAGTCAGGGTTTTCGGGATTTTTTTGATTTCGGATTTTCATGTTTAGACCTATTAAAAAAGTTTGGGTTTTTAAATTTTTTGATTAGGGTTTTTTGTCGGGTTCGGATTTAGGGTTTAAATTTTCTACACAAAACAACAACGTCACACCGCACAAACGTGCGGGTACTCTACTAGTAAATAATGTTAATATGTATCACTTGTAAAAATGATGTTAATATGTACATTAACTAATTTAGTATTGGCTTGTTTCGGTTATTTTAAATGATATCAAATATATCTTCATCACTTGTAACAATAAAAGTGACAGTTAAATTGTTTTCTATATAGGAAGAAAATAGTGGATACATTCATCCCAAATTTCAGTCACAACTTGCAACAATAAAAAAAAAATCTTGAGAAGTTTTAATTATACATTATCAGATATAAGAAGTCTTGCAAAAAAAGAATCATGGATCAACAACGTAACACTTGATAACCACATGGTACTGGGCATGGATCCTTTTTTTATACTGGAGCTGCTGAAAGGTACCTTAAAGGACACGTCTTTGACGATGACCCACCAAAACACAGACCTCTCAAATGCATTTATTTGAGGGCTGTCCACTTTCAGCGCCCACCACCTCACCACAGACAGTGGCTGAGCCAGAAGTAAATTAGTTTCACTGACGATGACCCGAGATTTGATCAACATGTCCTACCAGAAAAAAAAAACGTGTTTACCCCTAAATTAATCTTTTTTTCAAAGCTTGAAACAAACGACAGAAGTTACATGGAAAGAAGAACAATGTAAAATCTGTACAAACTAAAGCAAGGAGACAATGTAGATATATCTCGAAGATGATCTCAGATCCTTGGTAAGAAGTCATATTCAGGTAACAGTAGCATCAATGTGAAAGGTTTAGCCTTTCGTGTTACGTCATTGTTTTCTCTGATCAAGCATTTTCATGGAGTAGCAAGATCTTTCATTATTCACATTGAGAATGGTAACCTAACTTGAGGTTCACGCTCCAGGTTTGTCGGTTCTGTACTCCAACAGAACCATCACCACCACCACCTATTCGTGATTCTCTGGCACCGTCCATGGTGGCCAAGGACAGAGATTTAACTGATAGAATAAGGTATAAAGATCGAATGCTGTGATTATCCAATCCAGGCGTCCTTTTTTATTCTTGAGCTGCTGAAAGGACACGACTTTGACGATGACCCACCAACCATCCATGGCTTTCAAATGCATTTATTTGAGGGATGCCCACTTTTAACGCCACTCACCACACCACAGTCAGTGGCTGTGGCTGAGCCAGAAGTAAATTAATTATATTGACGATGACCCGAGATTTGAAATGCATTTATTTGACGGCCCCCCACAGGCGGAGCCATAGTAATAAATTTTATTTTTGGGTCACATTATTTTTATTAAATTTAAAACTATTATGTGATCGATATATACTACAAAAAAAAACGTGTTTTCCCCTAAATTAATCTTTTTCATAGCTCGAAACAACCGACAAAAGTTCAATAGAAAGAAGAACAATGTAAAATCTGTACAAACTAAAACAAGAAGACAATGTAGATATATATCGAAGATGATCTCAGATCCTTGGTAAAAAGTCATATTCAAGTCATCAGGTAACAGTAGCATCGATGTGACAGGTTTAGCCTTTCGTGTTACGTCATCGTTTTCTCTGATTAAGCATTTTCATGGAGTAGCAAGATCTCTCATTATTCACATTTAGAATTCACGCAAGAGCCTCTAGGGAAACAAAAGGGAGTAAGGGACAAACTTTGATTCCATGAGTATAGAATTCTTGTTCTCCACGTAATCGAAACAATTTAAACTTTGATAATTTTTTTTATTAAACTGAAAATTATTATATGATCCATCTATACTACAAAAAACGTGTTTTACATCAGTTAATTTTTATAATTTTATTACCTATAACTGATGCAAAGTAATTTTACATCACTTAAAAGAAATGATGATCATGCACTTAAAAAAACGTGTTTTACATCAACTTGTATAAACGTGATGGTGCAAATAATTAACATCCGTTTAAGGAATAAATTATGTTAATATGTATCACTTGTAAAAATGATGTTAATATGTAACATCAACTAATTTAGTATTGGTTTAATTTGTTTCGGTTATTTAAAATGATATAAAATATCGTCATCACTTGTAACAATAAAAGTGACAGTTAACTGGTTTTCAATATAGGAAGAAAATAGGGGGTTGTTTCACTTCTAGACCCAAAATTGTGGTCAAATGCAAAATTAACCTCTGTTTTTTTCATTTTAAGTTTGTCCATTTTTTCCAATTAATTACGAAATGCCATTACTTTTTCGATTGGTAGACCGATATTTAGGTCTACCAGATCTGCTGAAAGACCAAACACCCCTCATCTTCTACACTTAATTGCCAAAAAGCCATTTCATCAATGTTGACAACCACCATTTTTACCCAATTTGGAGCTGTTAATGCTCGAAAACTCACTTTGGAGCTAGCATTTCTCCTTCTTTCATCTCACAAACTCTTATTCTTTCCATTTTCTCTCCATTTTCATCCCAAAAACTTAAAAGAAAACTCAAATCTTGGGTCTTGGCATTTCCAATTGTTTAGCTTAGTGATGACCGGAACTCGTAATTGAAGCCTAAATTGAAGTTATCAGCCCTCGAAGAGCCTTTTCCGACGGCCAGTAACTTTTCTTTCAAAATTCTAAGAATTTCAGTTTTGGTCTGCGAAGGTAGACTGAAGTGTAGGTCTACCATTACATAGTAGACCTCAGTTTAGGTCTACTGGTCAACGCAGAGTTGACTGTGCCATTTCCTTTGCAAACAAAAAAAATGAGTGGTAGACCTACACTTAGGTCTACTCCACGTGGAGGGTTAGTTTTGCAATTGATTGAGAAAAATTTTTTTTTGAGGTCTACCTTGTCGGTCTACTCCACGTGGAGGGTTAGTTTTGCAATTGAAGAGAAAATGTTTTTCGGAGGTCTACCTCTTAGGTCTACCTAAAAAAAAAAGTTGGTTTTGCCGTTGACTCAAGTTTGACTTTCCTCAAAAAGGAGAGATTTTGCGTCATTGAGGTCTACCGTGTAGGTCTACCATCGGTAGACCGCAGTTGAGGTCTACTGGTCAACGCAAAAAACTGAGGTCTACCACGGAAGTCTACCCGAGGAAAGTCAAACTTGAGTCAACGGCAAAACAAACTGTTTTCGGTAGGTAGACCTAAGGCGTAGACTAATTCAGAGGTCTACTTTTTTTGGTAGACCGATTGAGAGGTCTACGTTTTCTGGTAGACGTACACGGTAGACCTCGTGTAAAAGTCAACGTTTGGTCAATTGCAAAACTAACCCTCCACGTGTAGTAGACCGACAAGGTAGACCTCCAAAAAAACATTTTTCTCGATCAATTGCAAAACTAACCCTCCACGTGGCCGTCCACGTGGAGTAGACCTAAGTGGAGGTCTACCGTGAACGTCTACTCCGAACGTCTACGTTTTAGGTCTATTATTATGTGTTTTTTAAAATGTCGTTTTCCTTTCAATATATCAAATATTTTGAAATTTTCTCGAACATTAGTTGTTTTTATTTGTTTACTTGCTTCTGTGTGAGTTTGAAATGTTCTTTCGGCGTAATTAAGGTTATATTCGGTTTTCTTTTGAATTAGGTATCTAGCTTATTTTTCTGGTAGACCAAATTGTGGGTCTACCTTGTCGGTCTACGCCTTCTGTCTACTAATCCATTTTGTGTCTGGTTTGTTTTTGTTGCAGGTAATGGTTTGTCTAGCTTCCGTTTATGGAAAATGGATGGTGATGGAAGACAAGTCATGGCATTTTGAGATGGACAAAGGAAAAGGAGGGAGAATGTTCTACTTACGGGATGGTTGTACACATAAGGAGCCTCTTAGAATGGAACAAGCTGACTATATGTTGGATATGGAAGCAGACATGGTGGAATTATCTTATCCATTACCAGATGTCAAATACCCTCAGACTTTCCTCATATGTACATCACCAACGAGGGTAGGTTCATAGCTTGATAGAGTTTATAGTTGTTCGAAGTGCAGCAACCGGGACATATCCGCCTTCATTGCGTAAGCTAATGACAACTCACAGTGTGTTCATGGTTTCTGTTTTTTTTATTACATGAGTTTTATAAAATTGGATTTTGAACTGATGTAGATGAACAACACAGAGATAGACTGAAAATAAGGTCTACTTTGGAAAGGTAGACTAAATATGAGGTATAATTCGGAGAAGTAGACTGATAATAAGGTCTACAAATGCAATCTACAACTGAGATCTACGTAGTAGATCTACTTTGTGCTATTTTCAAGTTTTTTATGCAAGTTTCCAATCTGATATGCAAGTTTGATATGATGAGAAATGCAAATGACAAAGAAGACTAAGCATGAAAATACTAATGAAATCTGAGAGGCAACAAGGTCTTACAATCAAAACTGACAAAAATAAATAAAAAACTCAAATCCAAAAGCTTTTAGACTAAAAAAAACTCAAATCCGAAAGCATATGAAATATCAATTGCCATCTCATTAGCCACCATCGACAGCATACTGATTGGGGGAGACCTTCTGTCCTGTTACAATAGAATTGGTTTCAGAAGGTTATCAAGGCTTAGCCTTCAAGCGTTTCATGATTAAAATCAAGAAAAAAAAAATGATAACAGCTCCAGATCGGTAAACAAACATCAGTCGGCTTACCTCTATTATCTCGGTTTAGATCTGAATAGAATTGAGAGGCTTGTTTGGCATCGGGGAAGGAAAAAGCTTGAAGCTTTAGACGTCTAGATAGAAAGTGTTCATGATGAGAGGATTACTTCTACAACCACTGATCGGGAAGCATATTCATTAACCAGTGCAACACCAACTGTAAAACGTGAGTCTTACTCAAATCCAAATCAACAAAAGTTCAACAAGACCAAAGCAAAAAAAAACGAAAGAAATTAAACTAGTCACTAAAGCAGTTGATTAAGCATAATGACTTACCGAAAGCTATCAAACAATGCTGCAACCTCTGGACTTAGATCTCCGACAAAATGTTGAAATGGCTTGTGCCTTCTCCTACCTCTCCGAGTTCTCCTTCAGTGGCTGTGTAAGTTTTAACCAGCCTTTCTGAAGAAAACAGGGCGATAGGCTCTAGCTCTAGCTTTGCTCACACTTCTTCACTATCTGTTAAGATAGCCCTTTTAACAGAAAAACATCAAGTCAAAGAAGAGGTTACAAAGAGGATTATACACACACGTACAAATGCAACAGAGATATAAAAGCAAAGCAAAATTCATACCTCTCTTTCGATTGGAGCAGCTGCAGATTTAGCATCAATGGCTGCAGAAGCTCATATCACAAAAATCCGCAGAGAATTTCTTGGACCTTTCGACCAAAGCCATCCTTTTTCCCCACCTAATTTCCATATCAAATACAAATCAGAAATAAAATTCATAGAACAAAAGTTGTTTAGAACAAAGAACTCAAATTAATTAGAACATATAACACATTTTTTTGTTTAAACTTCTAAGAACAGAAACACGACATAACAAATCCGCAAAAAAAAAAAAAACTGATTTTGAGCATGCATTGTCCCAAAATATAACCAAATCCGCAAAAATTAAGTAGTACCTCTAATTTTCCATTGTTTGGATTCGGTGGGTTTAACAAAGGCTTGACCGAACCTGGTTGAGGAGAGGGCGAAGAGGAGCTACACCTGCAAACCAAGAACAACAGTTATTACAGATCTGACTAAAATCTACACAACAAGGTGATAAGAAGAGAAATAGTTGATGTTGGAGAAGAAGAGGAGAAACTTACAGAAGCGAAGCTTCCGAAGAATTGTTTCACGAAACTTATCCCACCATTCTCCTCCGCTTCATTCTCTTCTATGCTCGAACCCTACATCCTCTAAAGCTTCTTTGGCGCTCAGATCCAGAAAAATAGGTCAATATGTCATGTTGTGGCTCAAATCGGATTTAGATCTGTTATGGAGAGAAGATAAATGGCTTACCAGTGCCACCGACGGCGGCTTGAGAGTGGAAGAGAAAGGATGGAGGAGGCCGAGAAATATCTCTATGGTGTGGACGTCCGCCGACGGAGACTAAAAACTCGGTTCTTCGGGGAAGCCCGAGGTCGGACGGGAGGCAGAGTCGGAGGCGGAGGCTCATTTTGAAACTTCGTCGGCGGCACCTCGAAACTCGAGCCATGGAGAGAGTAAACTAGGTTCAAGAAGAAGAAGAAGAAGATGGCAAGAGGGAGATAGTGGCCACAATTCACGGCGAGAGAGAGAGGCGGCAAGAGAGAGAAAGAGCGCGGCGAGAGAGAGAAGAGATTTTTTTAACAAAATTTGGGTTTTTTTTTTCATTTATACTGGGATAAATTATCCGGTTTAAGTAGAAAATTCCAGTTCAAAATTGTAAATTTTGGTTCAATTAATCTCGGTTCAAGCCTTTAATGAGGTCTACGGTTGCGGTCTACCTTTACAGTCTACCACGAAATTTCCGGTTCCCGCCGTTTTGGTTTGAAACTTCAGGATTCCCGCTAGGTTAAAATGGTTGGTAGACCTCCATTGCGGTCTACTCTATTACTCTATTGGTTAGATCTACTTTACCTCAAACCCTTAATTGAGTAATTTAGATACAATTTTGTAACGATTTGCTACTCATATTGTGAATTTATAGTGTATATCACAAATAAACAAACATTGAATCATAAAATCAGTCAAAAACAATTATTTATCTAAAACTTTTCAAAACCCTACAACTTACACCATTAAACCCTAAACAATCTACTCAAACTATTATCCTTATGAACTATTTACTCATGATATTTACAGATTTATGATTTTTTTTCTGAAATTTTATTTTTAATATATGTTAAATGTATATTATTTCGTTATTTGTGAAACAAATATTTCAAAATATTTATTAAAATTTTCTTAATTTAAATTTAAGATTTGATTAGTTAGTAGACTTACTTGGTAGATCTCTCATGTTTTTATAGGCTTTTAGCTTAATTTGTTTCTTTTCATAGTTTAATTGGTTCAAATCTATGAAATTATATTTTATATAGATGCAAGTT